CCCAGCGAAGTCCCTCTACCAGATCACGTCGGCGGTCACCAATTGTCAAGTTGCGTCAATTCAAATCTGGTATAGGAACAAAAAGAGGTCAATACACGTCTTCTAAAATAGACTAGTATTTTAATTAATGCAAACACTTGAATGGTAAATATGATGTTCGTATATACGGGCCCACTGAAAAACCACGCAGGGCAGTCAGAGAACTGAGCTTTTGTTATAAGTTCTTCTTTAAATACTCTGACAGAGATAGTTCCCGCTCCCTGCTGGACCTGTCAGAGTAGAGGCTGGGTGTGGTTTAAACTTACCCAACCTATCGATGGCGCACAGGCTGGTCCCAGCCCCTTGGCGCTTCACTGTTGCCGGGCATTAGTTGTTATCTTTACAACTTGTCTCGAGTCAGCAACCTCAGACATAGTTTGTTCTTCTTTGTAGCAGAACACATGTCCTTGAGCGGTTTAACAAAGAGGCAGTGTGTGTGTGTGAATCACAAGTCTGTCTCAGCCTACCCCCTAACGGTTCCTCACATTAATCACAGCTTGTTATGTTAAACAATCTATATCAGTACAGCACAAACCTATTATGTTTAATCATTAATGTATTCTTTCTAAGCTAGGCATCACATCTAGTTATAAGAAAATAGATCCCCACAATGTGTGTGTGTGTGTGTGTGTGTGTGTGTATATACAGTGGGGAAAAAAAGTATTTAGTCAGCCACCAATTGTGCAAGTTCTCCCACTTAAAAAGATGAGAGAGGCCTGTAATTTTCATCATAGGTACACGTCAACTATGACAGACAAATTGAGGGGAAAAAAATCCAGAAAATCACATTGTAGGATTTTTAATGAATTTATTTGCAAATTATGGTGGAAAATAAGTATTTGGTCACCTACAAACAAGCAAGAGTTCTGGCTCTCACAGACCTGTAACTTCTTCTTTAAGAGGCTCCTCTGTCCTCCACTTATTACCTGTACTAATGGCACCTGTTTGAACTTGTTATCAGTATAAAAGACACCTGTCCACAACCTCAAACAGTCACACTCCAAACTCCACTATGGTCAAGACCAAAGAGCTGTCAAAGGACACCAGAAACAAAATTGTAGACCTGCACCAGGCTGGGAAGACTGAATCTGCAATAGGTAAGCAGCTTGGTTTGAAGAAATCAACTGTGGGAGCAATTATTAGGAAATGGAAGACATACAAGACCACTGATAATCTCCCTCGATCTGGGGCTCCACGCAAGATCTCACCCCGTGGGGTCAAAATGTTCACAAGAACGGTGAGCAAAAATCCCAGAACCACACGGGGGGACCTAGTGAATGACCTGCAGAGAGCTGGGACCAAAGTTACAAAGCCTACCATCAGTAACACACTACGCCGCCAGGGACTCAAATCCTGCAGTGCCAGACGTGTCCCCCTGCTTAAGCCAGTACATGTCCAGGCCCGTCTGAAGGTTGCTAGAGTGCATTTGGATGATCCAGAAGAGGATTGGGAGAATGTCATATGTTCAGATGAAACCAAAATAGAACTTTTTGGTAAAAACTCAACTCGTCGTGTTTGGAGGACAAAGAATGCTGAGTTGCATCCAAAGAACACCATACCTACTGTGAAGCATGGGGGTGGAAACATCATGCTTTGGGGCTGTTTTTCTACAAAGGGACCAGGACGACTGATCCGTGTAAAGGAAAGAATGAATGTGGCCATGTATCGTGAGATTTTGAGTGAAAACCTCCTTCCATCAGCAAGGGCATTGAAGATGAAACGTGGCTGGGTCTTTCAGCATGACGATGATCCCAAACACACCGCCCGGGCAACGAAGGAGTGGCTTCGTAAGAAGCATTTCAAGGTCCTGGAGTGGCCTAGCCAGTCTCCAGATCTCAACCCCATAGAAAATCTTTGGAGGGAGTTGAAAGTCCGTGTTGCCCAGCGACAGCCCCAAAACATCACTGCTCTAGAGGAGATCTGCATGGAGGAATGGGCCAAAATACCAGCAACAGTGTGTGAAAACCTTGTGAAGACTTACAGAAAACGTTTGACCTGTGTCATTGTCAACAAAGGGTATATAACAAAGTATTGAGAAACTTTTGTTATTGACCAAATAATTACTTTCCACCATAATTTGCAAATAAATTCATTAAAAATCCTACAATGTGATTTTCTGGAAAAATTTTTCTCATTTTGTCTGTCATAGTTGACGTGTACCTATGATGAAAATTACAGGCCTCTCTCATCTTTTTAAGTGGGAGAACTTGCACAATTGGTGGCTGACTAAATACTTTTTTCCCCCACTGTATGTGTGTATATATATATATGTGTGTGTGTATATATATAAAGTGGGGAGAACAAGGTTTTCCTACTTACAAAGCATGTCCAGGTCCGTCTGAAGTTTGCCAATGACCATCTGGATGATCCAGAGGAGGAATGGGAGAAGGTCATGTGGTCTGATGAGACAAATATAGAGCTTTTTGGTCTAAACTCCACTCACCGTGTTTGGAGGAGGAAGAAGGATGAGTACAACCCCAAGAACACCATCCCAACCGTGAAGCATGGAGGTGGAAACATCATTCTTTGGGGATGCTTTTCTGCAAAGGGGACAGGATGACTGCACCGTATTGATGGGAGGATGGATGGGGCCATGTATCGCGAGATCTTGGCCAACAACCTCCTTCCCTCAGTAAGAGCATTGAAGATGGGTCGTGGCTGGGTCTTCCAGCATGACAACGACCCGAAACACACAGCCAGGGCAACTAAGGAGTGGCTCCGTAAGAAGCATCTCAAGGTCCTGGAGTGGCCTAGCCAGTCTCCAGAACTGAACCCAATAGAAAATCTTTGGAGGGAGCTGAAAGTCCGTATTGCCCAGTGACAGCCCCGAAACCTGAAGGATCTGGAGAAGGTCTGTATGGAGGAGTGGGCCAAAATCCCTGCTGCAGTGTGTGCAAACCTGGTCAAGACCTACAGGAAACGTATGATCTCTGTAATTGCAAACAAAGGTTTCTGTACCAAATATTAAATTCTGCTTTTCTGATGTATCAAATACTTATGTCATGCAATAAAATGCAGATTAATTACTTAAAAATCATACAATGTGATTTTCTGGATTTTTGTTTTAGATTCCATCTCTCACAGTTGAAGTGTACCTATGATAAAAATTACAGACCTCTACATGCTTTGTAAGTAGGAAAACCTGCAAAATCGGCAGTGTATCAAATACTTGTTCTCCCCACTGTATATGTGTGTGTGTGTATATATATATATGTGTGTATATATATATAATATATATATGTGTATATATATATATATATATATATATATTATATGTTGTATATCTCTATATGTGTCACACTATATCTGTGTATATTCTATCTTGTGTTTTACTATCTATGTGTTTCTTATATTTGTGTCTATCTATCTCTGTGTATTTCTATGTGATCTCTCTGTTTCTTCTCTCTCTCTCTGTGTCTCTCTTCTGTGTCTTCTCTCCTGTGTTGTGTCTCTCTCTGTGTCTTTATTTGTGTCTCTCTCTCTTGTGTCTTGTCTCTCTCGCTCTTGTCTCTCTTTCTCTGTCTCTCTCTCTCATCTCTCTCTCTCTGTCTCTCTCTTCTCTCTGTGTCTCTCTCTCATCTGTGTGTCTCTCTCTCTCTCTCTCTCTATCTGTTGTCTCTCTCTCTCTCTCTCTGTGTGTCTCTCTCTCTCTCTCTCTTGTGCTGTCTCTCTCTCTCCCTGTGTGTCTTCGCTTACCCGTGTGTTGATCTCTCTCTCTCCTCCTCTCTCTCTCTCCTACTGTGTTCGCTCTTCTCCTCTCTCTGTGTGTCTCTCTCTCTCTCTGTGTCTCTCTCTCCTCCTGTGTGTCCTCTTCTCCTTGTGTCTCTGTGTGTCTCTATCTCTTCTGTGTGTGTGTGTCTCTCTCTCTCTCTCTCTTGTCTTTCTGTCTCTCTCTCTCTCTGTCTGTCCCTCTCTGTCTGTGTCTCTCTCTCTCTCTCTCTCTCTCTCTCTCTCTCTCTCTATATATTATATATAATATATATATAAAAAACATGGGGGATTGGAAGTGATGCATACAATTACATTGATGGAAGTTACAATCTATCTGCAATATTTAGCTGATCCACCCCCAAAGAAAATTAAAGTTGCTCAGCTCATCAGCTCTCTCCATTGATCGATCTGTCAATCAATCACACTTTGTCCAGAAAGTCGATGCAAAGTTTATTCAAACAGCAATCACAATGAGTTACAAATCGTCAAACACATTTGGTGACGAGATGTTTGAAGAGACAAAACAATGGTATTGGAGCTAATAAGTTTTACTGTAGTCCTCTAACAGAAAAGTACAATATAGAAAGAAATGTATTTTTATTCCAATCTAAGAGTGTCGGCTATTATACATTTGTTTTTTAAATCCATATGAAAAATGTATGTCTATAAACTGAAAAACATTATCAAATGAAGTGAGGCTTTTGCTTTAGCCCCAGTGTACCCTCATCATTGCACATGTGATTGGTTCAGTAGCTGCAACAGTATGATAGGTCAACAAGTTTGGTGTTTATTGTTGTGTATATTTCTTAGTGTGACGAGTACTGAGGATATGAAGAGGCAGGACGCAGACGCAGGAATCAACAATGTAAAGGTTTACTAAATACTGAGCAAGAGAACAACCAAGGGAGAGTACACGACATGACACTAACAATCACACACAACACAACACTGAACAGTCCAGGGCTATATAGGGGTGGTGATGAGATGATGAGGTGCAGGTGCGCTGGAGGTGATTAGGGTGCGTTGGGTTTCCATTCTGGTGTTGCCGAGGTGGTGCGCTCAGACCGGTGGCTCAGTAGACCGGCGTATCAGAGCACCGGAGGGGAGCAATGGGAGGAGACGTGACACTTAGGAATGACAATGGAGAGCATACTGTTTAATTGGTTATTATAATTGATTATTATAATCAATTGGAGGTTTTCAACTGTGCAAATTGAAAGTGTTTGGGGCGGTGGGACAGCCAGTAACACCAGTGTGTCTGAGCCAGGGGTAATGCCATTGACAACCGCTCCTGTTTTGAGTTTGGGAGTGTAGGATCTGACCCGCGCCTTTAACACAAGCGCCTTGAGTTCCTCACGGGCTTTCCTGTAGTTGAAGTAGTGACCGAAGCCATTGCTTACATCCTCTACGATACCCTGTGTAATGGCTCTAGAGTTGCGAGACTCCTCTTCCTTCTCCTCACGCTTGGCCTCCTTCTCTCTCAGGCTCTGTATCTCCACCTTCATTACTGCCTCTTTCTCCATAAAGACCTTAGCCATCAGCTTCTCCTGCTCCTGGAGCTTGCGATCTATCGCTCTCTCCAACTCCTGTTGCTTCTCCTTTGCCTCCTGGCCCATCTTGGCCTAGAATCACAGAGGGACAACACAATACAGACATCCTAGTTATGGATTTGCAAGCGGTATCTTCTTAAACACTGTTGTGTTCACCTCCCTCAGTTACTACAATCTGTGGTTATAGTAAAAAAAAATAATAATGTAAATAGTATTTTAGGAGACTTGGTATACTATAGGTTTCCAGTGTCCATACATACCTCTAGCTGACGGATGCCCTCCTGATGACTTCTCTTCCTCTCCTGGGTCAGTTTCTCTAACTGTTGCTGTTTCTCTGCCTCCATTTTCTCTGCCTCCATCTTCACTGCCTGTTCAGCCAGGGCTCTCTTCTCTGTGTCAGAAAAAAGACAGCAGCCAATGGCTATTTCTCGAGTGCAAACTGATTGATTCTTGGTCTGAGCTATTTGAACACCAAATTGTGGCCCGTTATCTGAGATTAAAGGAAGAAGAACTCAGGCCACAAAAGCATGAATTAGGTTTTCCAGATGTGAGTCAGATAGACTACTACTACTTACATAAACACTAACAGATATGCATTTTACATTGAACTTCAGAGATTTGTCATATATATTCTAATTATAGTGAGCTCTAAAAGTATTGGGACAGTGACACATTTCTTGTTTTGGCTCTCTACTCCAGCACTTTGTATTTGAAATTATACAATGACTGAGGTTAAAGTGCAGACTGAGATTTAATTTGAGGGTATTTTCATCCATATTGGGTGACCGTTTAGAAATTACAGCACTTTTTGTACACAGTCCCCCCATTTTAGGGGACCAAAATTATTGGAACATTCACTTATGTGTATTAAAGCAGTAAAATGTAAGTATTTGGTCCCATAGTCATAGCATGAATGACTGCATCAAGCTTGTGACTCTACAAATTTGTTGGATGCATTTGCTATTTGTTTTGGTTGTGTTTCAGATTATTTTGTGTCCAATAGAAATAAATAATGTATTGTTATTTTGGAGTCACTTTTATTGTAAATAAAAATAGAATGTGTTTCTATACCCTTCTACATTAATCTTAATGCTACCATGATTACGGATAATCCTGAATGAATCCTGAATAATGATGAGTGAGAAAGTTAGTTACATGTCACGCCCTGGCTCTGGGGACACTGTTATGTTGAGCCAGGGTGTGTAATTCTATGTTTGTATTTCTATGTTGGCCTGAGTGACTCCCAATCAGAGGCAACGAGTGTCAGCTGGTTGTCTCTGATTGGGAGCCATATTTAACTGTCTGTCTTTCACTTTGTGTTTGTGGTTTCTTGTTCTTGTTTGGTTTGTGTTAAACCGTAGACATCACGTTATCGTCCGTTGTTTTGATCGTGTGATCATTCTATTAATAAATATGTACGCATTCAACGCTGCGCCTTGGTCTCTCCCTGACGTTCGTGACAGAAGAAACCACCAGAACTGGACCAAGCAGCCTAGTGAGGAGCAGAGTGGGTGGACTTGGCAACAGTGGAGGCAGAGCTTCGACTGGGTCAAGCCGAATGAGGAGCTGAATGGCGGAGATTGGAAGCAGAAGAGCGAGAGTTGGGCGAGAATTATCGAGGCCTGGCCCACGGGGAGGAGAGACTCCCAGAAAATTTTTAGGGGGGGGCTCACGACGTCGGACCAGCAGGAGGCCGCGCGGGTTGCCAGAGGAGGCCGCCAGGTTACGGGGGCCACTGGTCGAAGAGGGGATGGAGGATGTAGAGGCACGGCGAGAGGTACTGGCGTGTGTTGCCAGTCCGGTCCGGCCCGTTCCAGATCCCGGTGTAGGGCCAGTGGTGTGTGTCCCCAGTACGGTGCGGTCCATTCCTGCTCCCCGCACCAAGTCTGTGGTGCGTTTCGTCAGCCCTGTCCGGCCCGTTCCTGCTCTCCGCACCAAGTATGTGGTGCGCGTCGCCAGCCCAGTCCGGCCCATTCCTGCTCCCCGCACCAAGTCTGTGGTGCGTTTCGTCAGCCCTGTCCGGCCCGTTCCTGCTCTCCGCACCAAGTCTGTGGTGCGCGTCGCCAGCCCAGTCCGGCCCATTCCTGCTCCCCGCACCAAGTCTGTGGTGCGTTTCGTCAGCCCTGTCCGGCCCGTTCCTGCTCTCCGCACCAAGTCTGTGGTGCGCGTCGCCAGCCCAGTCCGGCCCATTCCTGCTCCCCGCACCAAGTCTGTGGTGCGTTTCGTCAGCCCGGTCCGGCCCGCTCCTGCTCCCCACACCAAGCCAGTGGTGTGCGTCGTCGGTCCGGCACGGCCCGTGCCTGTTCCACTGGTGCCTGGTCCGGCACCGGTCAGATGCGTTACGCCGGAGCTAGAGCAATCCGCTCCATCAGTGTGCAGTCCAGCTCCGGCCAGCGGGGCCAGACCGGACCAGGGGTACTTTGGGGGGTTGGAGAGGGAGTGGGGATCAGGCCCGGAGCCGGATCCGCCGCCAAGGCGGAGTGCCCACCCGGTCCCTCCCCTGTGGTATTTAGTTGGCGCGGTCGGAGTCCGCGCCTTTAGGGGGGGGTACTGTCACGCCCTGGCTCTGGGGACACTGTTATGTTGAGCCAGGGTGTGTAATTCTATGTTTGTATTTCTATGTTGGCCTGAGTGACTCCCAATCAGAGGCAACGAGTGTCAGCTGGTTGTCTCTGATTGGGAGCCATATTTAACTGTCTGTCTTTCACTTTGTGTTTGTGGTTTCTTGTTCTTGTTTGGTTTGTGTTAAACCGTAGACATCACGTTATCGTCCGTTGTTTTGATCGTGTGATCATTCTATTAATAAATATGTACGCATTCAACGCTGCGCCTTGGTCTCTCCCTGACGTTCGTGACATTACAGCACAAATATAACCTCCCATGTTATTGTAATGGTGAGAGATTAGCATGCCTTGGGAGTATGATATTTGTGCATCTTAACTTTCTCACTAATCATTATTCACGATTCATTCAGGATTATCTGTAGTCATGGTAGCATCCACATTAATGTAGAAATGTTTAGAAACATATTTTATTTCAGCTCATGGAACATGGGACCAACACATGTTGTGTTTTATATTTTTGTTCAGTATATGTTGACCCTATTTATTGTGAGAATTCACTTCAACCAGAATTCAACTAAATAACATCCCATGCCTTATTTTGGATTTACCGTGGATGTTTTTCTCATTTTCGGTCAGTTTTTTGTCAGCTTGCAGGATGGAATTCTTCTCTAGACTCTTCTCCCTCAGGAACTGCTCCAGAATCTCCTTAGTCTGCAGAAAACACCCCCCCAAGGCTACATGTTTTATCATTGTTTGATGGCAATCTAAAACCAGTTAGATGTGTTTCTGGTATGATGCTAAACATGCCTAAAGATACATTATTGCAGCTAATGTGAATCATAACAGTAACAAGTCTGATATAAAGAATAGCAACCCATCTACAACCTGAAAGATAAGAACAGCTCCTGTGTTTTAATATATATTTTTTTGTTTGTGACATCCCTAAAGGAAAACACTTTCATTCAGCCCTAGCAAGAACTCAGCCTGAAGGTCTTACCCTAACTCCTTTGTTGTGCTCGGCCCGGTACTGTGCCACCATGTTGTCATGGTGATTGCAGTAAAGCTCATAGCCTCCTGGTGTGGCGTAGATCCCACCTATAATCTTCTGGGCCATCGGAGCAGACAGCTTCTCCAGAAGGGCCTTACATTTCTTCTCTGAGACCTCCTCATTCTGGATGAGAAGGTCAGTGTAGTCTTTTGCAGTGGCCTCCTGCAAGAGTCAATACATTTTTAGGGAAGCATTTGGAAAAAGTGGTCCTTGAAAGAGTTAAGAACTCAGTGTTCGTACTAGGCACAGATCTTAAATAATTACCCTTACCGCTAGAGCTTTCAAGAAATCCCAATTTTCATCTTTGAAGGATCGCTGCGTGGCCTGGTGGTCTGAGCGGAGGTGATGAGCTGAAATCTGACCCATGTCCACAGGGAATAAGGCCTTCACCTCCTCCATGCCCCTCTGATACACCGCCAGGCCCTCATCCACAGCAGCTTGGTTCTCAATTTGAGCCATGGCCAGCACCGCATTCTCCAGACAGGGCACAGCGCCTTTGGCTATGGTCTCCACATAGGTGTTGACCAAGTGGCCCAGCACTGGATTCAGATAAGAGGTGGCGGAAAAATATAAATGTATACATTTGGTGGTAAAATAACTGGCTACATTCAACGAGAAAATGTGCGTCTGTGCAGAATCTGCAGATATTTGATTTATTTCTCCCGGTTACTTCGTGGCCCCGTTTGACAGTTTTCATACTGGTCACCTGGGAAATGAAGCATATCTGCGACCTCGGAAGTTTCCACAGAGGTCAGCCTCGTCCATGGAGTCCAGGCGGGGCATGTTGTCAGGAGTTGTAGGGGTGGGGAATGCAAAGCACTTGCGCGAGGGGAAGTTGTTCTGGATGCACTCTCATGGGAGGTTGTACATCAGGTTCTTCTTACCCTCACATGACTAGAATTTTATAACCAGTTTCCCAGACACAGATTAGGCCTTGTTCTGGACCCCCCAAAAAAGAGATTGTCCATTGAAAATGCTTTTTAGTCCAGGAGTAGGCCTAATCTGTGTCTGGGGGACCGGCCCTTAGAGATATAAGATATAGCAGAATACTGTATGACCAATAAACAAACCGGATAAAGTAATTGAGTCACTTGGTTTATAAGTCTGTTTGATTATGAGTGTAATGCTACAATATGTAATTTAGCAACACTCAGAGCAAATATCAATCTTCTTTTCAACCCATCAGAGGAAAGCCCAAAAAATTGTCAAAGACTCCAGTCACCCAAGTCATAGACTGTTCTCTCTGCTACCGCACGGCAAGCGGTACCGGAGCGCCAAGTCTAGGTCCAAAAGGCTCCTTAACAGCTTCCACCCCCAAGCTATAAGACTGCTGAACAATTAATCAAATGGCCACCCGGACTATTTACACTGACACCCCCCCCCCCCTTTTCTTTTTACACTGCTGTACCCCGCACATTGATTCGGTACCGGTAACCCCTGTATATAGCCTCGTAATTGTTATTTTATTGTTACTTTTCATTTGGTAAATATTTTCTTAACTCTATTTCTTGAACTGCATTGTTGGTTAAGGGCTTGTAAGTAAGCATTTCACGGTAAGGTCTACACCAGTTGTATTCGGCGCATGTGACAAATAAGATTTGATTTGCTCTTTGTGAGAATGATTATTGCAACTATGAATGATTATTGCAACTATATAATCATTCATGGTACACTATTCTTTGGAGAGCCATTGTGCACTGTTGATCATAGGGGTGGTGGCTAGTGTTAGTGTCACCTTTTTTGAGTTCCAGGGAATGCTCCAGATAGTCGTCTTCGGTGACGTTTCTGCCGTCGATCTCGAGTAGTAGAGTGAAATCTCTGATGGCCCACACAAAATTAGGGAAGAACAAACTGGGGCCCCACTCCTTCCTCCTCATCATCTGAGGATGAAGGTGCACTAGAAGACTTCACCTTGATCCGCTCCGTCACATATCTGTAGGGCCGGTTGAGGATTGACTGACACAAGATAAATGCTATCTAAAGGTTAAAAAAATGCATGTGTTTGAAGAGTTTTGAAAAGAATAATGGGCAAATGTTGCACAATCCAGGTGTGGAAAGCTCTTAGAGACTTACCCAGAAAGACACACAGATGTAATCGCTACCAATGGTGCTTCTACAAAGTATTGACTCAGGGGTGTGAAGAGTTATGTAAATTAGATATTTATGTATTTTATTTTCAATATATTGGAAAACATTTCTAAAAATATGTTTTCACTTTGTCATTATGGGGTATTGTGTGTAAATGGGTGAGAAAAATTATATTATACATTCTGAATTCGGGCTGTAACACAAAATGTAGAATAAGTCAAGGGGTATGAATACTTTCTGAAGGCAATATGGAAGTAGTTTAGTGCCTAAAAAAAGAGGTTAAATATGTGTCCAAAAAATAATATACAGTGTGCAAAGCTGTCATCAAGGCAAAGGGTAGCTATTTGAAGAATCTCAAATATAAAATATATTTAGATTGGTTTAACACTTCTTTGGTTACTACATGATTCCATATGTGTAATTTCATAGTTTTGATGTCTTCACTATTATACTACAATGTATAAAAAAGTACAAATAAAGAAAAACCCTTGAATGAGTAGGTGTGTCCAAACTTTTGACTGGTAGTGTATACCTCAGATATAGGAGAGAGACTTTTTTTTTACTGTTTTTCCATGTATGAATCTGTTATTCAATGTGTTTCTATGGGCCAATAGCAGTAAGGCCAAATTCAATGTTTCATCCATAACATGTATTCATTTTTTTGTTATACAGTGCCTTCAGAAAGTATTCACACCCCTTGACTCTTTCCACATTTTGTTGTGTTACAGCCTGAATTTAAATTGAGATGTTGTGTCACTGGCCTACACACAATACCCAATAATGTCAAAGTGTAATTATGTTTTTAGAGATTTTTACAAATTCATAAAAAATGAAAAGCTGAAATGTCTTGAGTCAATAAGTATTCAACCCCTTTGTTATGGCAAGTGTAAATAAGTTCAGGAGTAAAAATGTGCTTAAGTCACATAAGTTGCATTGACTCACTGTGTGCAATAATAGCGTTTAACATTGTTTTTGAATGATTACCTCATCTCTGTACCCCACACATACAATTATCTTTAAGGTCCCTCAGTCGAGCAGTGCATTTCAAACACAGATTCAACCAGAAAGACCAGGGAAGTTTTCCAATGCCTCGCAAGAAGGGCACCTATTGGTAGATGGGTAAAAATAAAACAAAACACATATTGAATATCCCTTTAAGCATGGTGAAGTTATTAATTACATTTTAGTCATTTTAGCAGACGCTCTTAACCAGACTTAAAATTGGGGTTAAGTGCCTTGCTCAAGGGCACATCGACAGATTTTTCACCTAGTCGGCTCGGGGATTAGAACCAGTGACCTTTTGGTTACTGGCACAATGCTCTTAACCACTAAGCTACCTTCCGCCCCAGGTAATTACACTTTGGATGGTGTATCAATACACCCAGTCACAACAAAGATACAGGCCTCCTTCCTAACTCAGTTTCCGGAGAGGAAGGAAATGGCTCAAGGATTTCACCATGAGGCCAATGGTGACTTTACAACAGGTACAGAGTTTAATGGCTGTGGTAGGAGAAAACTGAGGATGGATCAACAACATTGTAGTTACTCCACAATACTAACCTAATGACAGAGTGAACAGAAGGAACCCTGTACAGAATAAAAAATATTCCAAAACATGCATCCTGTTTGCATAAGGCACTAAAGTTAAACTGCAATTACAGTTTTGACTTAAATCAGTTTGAAAATCTATGGCAAGACTTGAAAATGGCTGTCTAACAATGATCAACAAACAACTTGACAGAGCTTGAAGAATTTTTAAAAGGATAATGTGGAAATATTGTACAATCCAGGTGTGCAAAGCTCTTAGAGACTTACCCAGAACGACTCACAGCTGTAATCACTGCCAATGGTGCTTCTACAAAGTATTGACTCAGAGTTGTGAATACTTATGTAAATTAGATATTTCTATATTTCATTTTCAATATATTTGCAAAGATTTCTTAAAACACGTTTTCACTTTGAATTCAGGCTGTAACACAACAAAATGTAGAATAAGTCGAGGGGTATGAATACTTTCTGATGGAATGTACTAAAATTCAAAATCAAATAGCTAAATGATCCTTGGTATGACCATCTTAAAATAATCCCCATCCCCAAACCAGTTTGTTAAGACAGACCTATTCGTCTCTCATCATCAGTCAGTCTGTCTCACTTGCCGGTGCGGTACCGCCACCACGCGCTGCTTCAGTCCCATCAGGTACTTGATGGCCCCAGGGACTACACGAAGCTGGCCGTCTGGGTTTCGACCAGGCACAGTGGGGAATCCATGGTCAAGTGGATTCACAAGATGATCACGTGCAGAAACTCTAATAAATATGAATAATACATCTATAATAAAATGAATGATTCAATATAATGTTCAGGTGAATACGATTGGTGTAAATTCATCCTCGATTCCTCTTAAATTAGCCTAAACTAAAATGTGTTTGGGCTGCATATATAATATTATTGAATCTCAGCATCAATTTAATAAAACAATGTGTTTAAAAACATCTCATTGTGTTTCCCTGCAATGAAAAAAATATGATTTGATCGTCTTTACTTACATAAACAGCAGTCTTGGGGTTCTGTGTCAAGTCCTCTCCCACAGCCAGCCAGTTCGTGTAAATAAATGGCAGAGTTGCCTTTTAGGCTATATTTCTCTTCACTTATTTTCACCAGTCAAATAAGAGATCGATTTAATGCACCCGACTTTTTAATTAATAAATACAATCTTTGAAAATAGAAGAAATAGAAATGTTCAATTGTATGCATTTCATTATTTGATCCAAATTATTGGGCTATTCTTCCCGTAGGAACAGGTGTCTTCACTGCAGTGCGCAGAGAAGGGACATGTTTTCTCGGAAGCCTAATTTAAAACATGAGAGAAACACTTTCAGTTTCAGTATCACCAAAGTCTTCTGCCATCCAAACGCAAACCACAGACCGAACAACAAGCGCACTGACTGCACAGCATCTCGAGATTTAAGCTCTCTTGCGCTTCAAAATTTTGGCTAGGCGCTATTTACTATTGATTTGTAAATTGACTGTTGTATGAAAAATACTAGATCCGGTCTTAATCTACGCTGATGAAATACAAATAGACAAATATTTTTATAACATGAAATTTGCAGTTAATTAGTGTCAGTGGTGTAGTGGTGCCTGGAGAAGTGGGTATACTCTAATTTCCCCCAAAAAAATCAAAACGCCCCTCCCAGCAAAGGAAAGGTACCCTGTGTGAAAAGTTGTATGAGAAACAGTGGCATACACTGAATGACCTAAAATAATAAATCCCATATTGGTCTTTCACAATCAGGCCAATCCAAGCTATACTGTGGAAGTAGGCTAATCGTAGGCCTACCATTGAAACAGATCAATGTAAAAAAAAATCACAGGTTTCAGATTTTTCCTAAAACAACACAATTGTATGATCTAAGTCCATAACAATACTTAAACCACATCAGGAGACCACTTTTGAGGTCTGGGAAAAATCAAAGAAATGTAGATTTTTCTATGTAGGCATCTAGCACTGTTGTTTGGTTAGCAGTGTTTCTGTAGCACATGAGATGGAGTTTGCAAAATAAATGGCTACTGGATTGATGCAAATAATCATGATATCATTCTGACAGGTAGGAATAGGCAACTTTGTAACTAGTTAACATTTAGCAGATAAGGTTTCTGGGAAAGTCTTTCCATCTACCAGAAGATGGTTAGGCCTATCATTAGCATCTCTATTTTTTTTATTTTTTCCGTAATTGTTTGAAACCTGGACGTTTTACTTAATATTATGAAGCATGTCTTACCTTACTTGAAAGTAGCCTATAGCCAAAATCCCACCATAGAAATGTGGAGGCAATTAGACTTACTCACATGCTTTCTCCTGTTCTATTGATTTTCTTTCAACTTTATTTCATTGTTAGCAGCCAAAGGCATTATCCTAGTCATAATAGCAACCCATGATAGTTGCATATTTAAATCCCACCTCTGTCCAGTAACAGTGCGTGGGTAAAATCACTGGGGAAGCCCCCCCCCCCTCAAAAAAAGCCATATTACAACCTACACTGTATGTGTCATGATAATTGCGTTATTTGCTGTTAATTCATATGCCTTGTGATATATAGGCCTTAAGGCAGAGACAATAAGAAGACAGTGGCAGAATAATTCAACCACACCTTTGTGTGGTTGAGATGGCGCCGGAGAAGATGGCTGCCGTTTTACAGCCCTCTAACCAATTGTACTATTATGTGTGTTTTTTTGCATTATTTGTAATATATTCTGTACATAATGTTTCTGCCATCGTCTCTTATAACCAAAAAGAGCTTCTGGATATCAGGACAGCGATTACTCACCTCGTATTGGACGAAGATTTTTTTCTTCAACGAGTCGGACGCGAATGATATCCTACAGACACCCGACAAGGCCCAAATCCCTGTCATTCGCAGGAGAAAGAGACGGAGATATCGTGGACGTAGGTCGGGGTGCCTTGTAAGGATCCGACGGCGAGCGAATAAACTGCCTCTTCCATCAATCCTATTAGTCAATGTTCAATCATTTGAAAATAAATTAGATGACCTACGATTACGGTTATCCTACCAACGGGACATTAAAAACTAATATCTTATGTTTCACCGAGTCGTGGCTGAACAACGACATGGACAACATACAGCTGACGGGATATACGCTACATCGGCAGGATAGAACGGCTGACTCCGGTAAGACAAGGGGTGGCGGTCTGTGTATATTTGTAAACAACAGCTGGTGCACAAAATCAACTACTAAGGAAATCTCGAGGTTTTGCTCGCCTGAGGTAGAGTATCTTATGATAAGCTGTAGACCACACTATTTACCAAGAGAGTTTTCATCTATATTTTTCATAGCTGTCTATTTACCACCACAAACCAATGCTGGCATTAAGATTGCACTCAATGAGCTGTATAAGGCCATAAGTAAACAGGAAAACGCTCATACAGAGGCAGCGCTCCTAGTGGCCGGGGACTTTAATGCAGGGAAACTTAAATCCATTCTACCTCATTTCTACCAGCATGTTAAATGTGCAACCAGAGTAAAAAAAACTCTAGACCACCTTTACTCCACACACAGAGACGTATACAAAGCTCTCCCTCGCCCTCCATTTGGCAAATCTGACCATAACTCTATCCTCCTGATTCCTGCTTATAAGCTAAAACTAAAGCAGGAAGCACCAGTGACTCGGTTAATAAAAAAGTGGTCAGATGACGCAGATGCTAAGCTACAGGAATGTTTTGCTAGCACAGACTGGAACATGTTCTGGGATTCTTCAGATAGCATTGAGGAGTACACCACATCAGTCACTGGCTTCATCAATAAGTGCATCGATGACGTCGTCCCCACAGTGACAGTACGTACATACCCCAACCAGAAGCCATGGATTACAGGCAACATCCGCACTGAGCTAAAGGGTAGAGCTGCTGCTTTCAAGGAGTGGGACTCTAACCCGGACGCTTATAAGAAATCCCGCTATGCCCTCCGACGAACCATCAAACAGGCAAAGAGTCAATACAGAACTAAGATTGAATCGTACTACACCGGCTCTGACGCTCGTCGGATGTGGCAGGGCTTGAAAACTATTACAGACTACAAAGGGAAGCACAGCCGCGAGCTGCCCAGTGACACAAGCCTACCAGACGAGCTAAACCACCTCTATGCTCGCTTTGAGGCAAGCAACACTGAAGCATGCATGAGAGCACCAGCTGTTCTGGATGACTATGTGATCACGCTCTCCGTAGCCGCAGGGCCAGACGGATTACCAGGACGTGTACTCCGAGCATGTGCTGACCAACTGGCAAGTGTCCCTGACTGAGTCTGTAATACCAACATGTTTCAAGCAGACCACCATAGTCCCCGTGCCCAAGGACACTAAGATAACCTGCCTAAATGACTACCGACCCGTAGCACTGACGTCTGTAGCCATGAAATGCTTTGAAAGGCTGGTCATGGCTCACATCAACACCATTATCCCAGAAACCCTAGACCCACTCCAATTTGCATACCGCCCTAACAGATCCACAGATGATGCAATCTCTATTGCATTCCACACTGTCCTTTCCCACCTGGACAAGAGAAACACCTATGTGAGAATGCTATTCATTGACTACAGCTGAGCGTTCAACACCATAGTGCCCTCAAAGCTCATCACTAAGCTAAGGATCCTGGGACTAAACACCTCCCTCTGCAACTGGATCCTGGACTTCCTGACGGGCCGCCCCCAGGTGGTAAGGGTAGGTAACAACACATCTGCCACGCTGATCCTCAACACGGGGGCCCCTCAGGGGTGCGTGCTCAGTCCCCTCCTGTACTCCCTGTTCACCCATGACTGCATGGCCAGGCACGACTCCAACACCATCATTAAGTTTACCGACGACACAACAGTGATAGGCCTGATCACCGACAACGATGAGACAGCCTATAGGGAAGAGGTCAGAGACCTGGCCGTGTGGTGCCAGGATAACAACCTCTCCCTCAACGTGACCAAGACAAAGGAGATGATTGTGGACTACAGGAAAAAAAAGAGGACTGAGCACGCCCCCATTCTCATCGACGGGGCTGTAGTGGAACAGGTTGAGAGCTTCAAGTTCCTTGGTGTCCACATCCCCAACAAACTATCATGGTCCAAACACACCAAGACAGTCGTGAAGAGGGCATGACAAAGCCTATTCCACCTCAGGAGACTGAAAAGATTTGGCATGGGTCCTCAGATCCTCAAAACGTTCTACAGCTGCACCATCGAGAGCATCCTGACTGTTTGCATCACCGCCTGGTATGGGAACTGCTTGGCCCCCGACCGCAAGGCACTACAGAGGGTAGTGCGTACGGCCCAGTACATCACTGGGGCCAAGCTTCCTGCCATCCAGGACCTCTATACCAGGCGGTGTCAGAGGAAGGCCCTCAAAATTGTCAAAGACTCCAGCCACCCTAGTCATAGACTGTTCTCTCTGCTACCGCACAGCAAGCGGTACCGGAGCGCCAAGTCTAGGTCCAAAAGGCTTCTCAACAGCTTCTACCCCCAAGCCATAAGTCTCCTGAACAGCTAATCATGGCTACCAGGTCTATTTGCACTGCCCTCCCACCCCCACCCCATCTTTTTACGCTGCTGCTACTCTGTTAATTATTGATGCATAGTCACGTTAACTCTACCCACATGTACATATTACCTCAACTACCTAACTACCTCAACTAGCCGGTGCCCCCACACATTGACTCTGCACCGGTACCCCCCTGTATATAGCCTCCCTAATGTTATTTTATTTTACTTCTGCTCTTTTTTTCTCAACACTTTTTTGTTGTTGTTGTTTTATTTTACTTTTTTAGTAAAAAATACATGCATTGTTGGTTAAGGGCTGTAAGTAAGCATTTCACGGTAATGTCTACACCTGTTGTATTCGGCGCATGTGGCAAATAAAATTTGATTTGATTTATCACAAAACCAGATAGCAACCTCTGTCCTGTGAAGTCCACGATGCATATTGCATGTAACAGACAAGTTACATGACCTACAGCATGGACCACATTTTCGGACCACTAAACAACTATTGATTTAGAACCACAGAGTTAGCTCAAGTTGCAAAGAAAACTGGAGCTGCCTCCACTATTCCAGCACCATATCAACATTTCAACATCATCAAATCACCTCTGCTTAGTCTAATACAGTGACAACTACAATATATCAAAAACAATTTAGTCCAATCAACATAAGCTAAATATGATGTGGCTGTCCATGGTTCTGATTTCTGTTTGCGCGCATGTGCGTGTGTTATGATGAGTTTCTAGTATCGAGAAGTTCATGATGCAAGACAGTAGTCGACACTCATATTTGGAGTTGATTCAGTCATTATTTAATGGTTACAATAATGGATTCAATGACAGGCGGTACGGACGTAGCCTCTTGTCATATGAATGACTTCCATAGAAAATCTCTCAGTTTATATAATGCCCTTCTGATCTACTTCTTCCAACATCTACCACAATAGCATCCACATACTTGGTATTGTGTGTCACCCTAGCCAGGCCATTCCATCACGTACACCTTCTAAGATTATCACAAGTGGCCCCCAATCTATCTTTGCACACCGACCCTCTATCATTTACCAGTGACCTCTATAACACATGGCGTGTCCTTGTCCCCTCTCCTACATGCAGCTTAGGAGTTTACATACATTAATGAATCTTGAATCACAAGTCATTATAACAGCGTGCGAGCGCGTTTGTGCAAGTAGAAAAACATGTTGACTCACCCTATTTGTAGAGAAACGCCAATGCCATCCTCCTCACTTTCATGTTAACGAAATGGTCTATCACTCTGTCATACAGTACACTCTTTTATTTGTAGTTGTCCTAGGCTACCTGGCTAAAATGCTTGCTCGCTAGCCTAACTTCCATTCACGGGCAACGTTAGCTAGTTAACATTAGCCTTCTACATCTAGCTACTGTACATATTCAACTTCTATCCTCTCAGGCCAGGGGCACAACAATGTATCAATTAGTGGTTGGATCAGAATCGCCGTTATAATCAGCCAGTACAGAGAATTAAGTAAAAACACAAGTCCAAATCCCTATCTCCATCCATGGCTAATTAAGGAAAGGGACAACAACACAACGAGATGCAACAATTCACGTTGTTTCTGTTAATGATGTATGCTCTCAAAGCGATTTGACTGGAGAGACACCAAATCCAAGCTGGCTTCCCTTGGCACTCCACCCCTGAAGCTGAGCAGAGAGCAGAAGGTGATATAATAGATATAAAATATATATAACTCAAATCTGCCAAATCAGTGTGCTAAACTCCAAATGACAATACACATTTATCCCTACCCGCATGTACAGTTGAAGTCGGAAGTTTACATACACTTAGGTTGGCGTCATTAAAACTCGTTTTTCAACCACTTCACACATTTCTTGTTAACAAACTATAGTTTTGGCAAGTCGGTTAGGACATCTACTTTGTACATGACACAAGTCATTTTTCCAACAATTGTTTACAGACAGATTATTTCACTTATAATTCACTGTATCACAATTCCAGTGGGTCAGAAGTTTACATACACTAAGTTGACTGTGCCTTTAAACAGCTTGGAAAATTCCTGTCACGTTCGTTCATGAACGGGTCAGACCAAGGCGCAGCATGATATGCATACATGTTTATTAGACTTATAAACACAACGACAAAACAAGAAACCGAAACGTGAACTCCAAGGTACACAAACAACATACCTAACACGGAACAAGATCCCACAACCCCCTAGTGCCAATAGGCTGCCTAAGTATGGACCCCAATCAGAGACAACGAGCGACAGCTGCCTCTGATTGGGAACCACACCGGCCAACATAGATCTAGACGTACTAGATCTAAACCTAGAAAATACAACATAGAACATCACAACATAGAAAGTCACACCGTGACTCAACAAATAAGAGTCCCCAGAGTCAGGGCGTGACAATTCCAGAAAATGATGTCATGGCTTAGAAGCTTCTGATAGGCTAATTGACATCATTTGAGTCAATTGGAGGTGTACCTGTGGATGTATTTCAAGGCCTACCGTCAAACTCAGTGCCTCTGCTTGACATCATGGGAAAATCTAAAGAAATCAGCCAAGACCTCAGAAAAAATATTGTAGACCTCCACAAGTCTGGTTCATCCTTGGGAGCAATTTCCAAACGCCTGAAGGTACCATGTTCATCGGTACAAACAATAGTACGCAAGTATAAACACCATGGGACCACGCAGCCGTCATACCGCTCAGGAAGGAGACGCGTTCTGTCTCCTAGAGATTAACGTACTTTGGTGCGAAAAGTGCAAATCAATCCCAGAACAACAGCAAAGGACCTTGTGAAGATGCTGGAGGAAACAGGTACAAAAGTATCTATATCCACAATAAAACAAGTCCTATATCGACATAACCTGAATGGCCACTCAGCAAGGAAGAAGCCACTGCTCCAAAACCGCCATAAAAAAGCCAGACTACGGTTTGCAACTGCATATGGGGACAAAGATCGTACTTTCTGGAGAAATGTCCTCTAGTCTGATGAAACAAAAATATAACTGTTTGGCCATAATGACCATTGTTATGTTTGGAGGAAAAAGGGGAAGGCTTGCAAGCCGAAGAACACCATCCCAACCGTGAAGCACGGGGGTGGCAGCATCATGCTGTGGGGGTGTTTTGCTGCAGGAGGGACTGGTGCCCTTCACAAAATAGATGGCATCATGAGGAAGGAAAATGATGTGGATATATTGAAGCAACATCTCAAGACATCAGTCAGGAAGTTAAAGCTTGGTCACAAATGGGTCTTCCAAATGGACAATGACCCCAAGCATACTTCCAAAGTTGTGGCAAAATGGCTTAAGGACAACAAAGTCAAGGTATTGGAGTGGCCATCACAAAGCCCTGACCTCAATCCTATAGAAAATGTGTGGGCAGAACTGAAAAAGCGTGTGCGAGCAAGGAGGCCTACAAACTTGACTCAGTTACACCAGCTCTGTCAGGAGGAATGGGCCAAAATTCACCCAACTTATTGTGGGAAGCTTGTGGAAGGCTACCCAAAATGTTTGACAGAAGTTAAACAATTTAAAGGCAATGCTACCAAATACTAATTGAGTGTATGTAAACTTCTGACCCACTGGGAATATGATAAAAGTAAATAAATAATTCTCTCTACTATTATTCTGACATTTCACATTCTTAAAATAAAGTGGTGATCCTAACTGACCTAAGACAGGGAATTTGTACGAGGATTAAATGTCAGGAATTGTGAAAAACTGAGTTTAAAGTATTTGTCTAAGGTGTATGTAAACTTCCGACTTCAACTGTACATACTGTATTACCTCAATTACATCAACTACCTCGTACCCCTGCTCATTGACTCGGTACTGGTACTCCTTGTATATTGCCTCGTTATTGTTTTTGTGTAACTATTTCCTTTTTAGTAAGCAAATATTTGTCTTACTTTTTAAACTTTGCATTGTTGGGAACGAGCTCGTAAGTAAGCATTTCACTGTAAAGTCTACACCTGTTGTATTCGGTGCATGTGACCAATACAATTTGATTTGATGATTTGACATTACCTGACGACAACATTGTAATGACCACCAGGCTTAACTCACTTTCGCTCTCTCTCTCTCTGCAGCGGAGCAAGCATTAAGGGAGGCTTCTGAGCGGGAGAGTCAAGCCATGGAGGAGCAGCTTGTAGTCCAGGAGAGGTTGAGAGCGGACCAACAGAGGACGTACAAGGAGAATGTCAACCAGCTGATGGAGAGGATGGACAGAGACAGTAGAAATGCCATAGCAGAGCATGACAGAGTTCTGCAGGCCGGAATCAGGGTAAGAACCACAAATAAAAACTTTGAGAAGAACACTTTAAAACTATAGTAACTGTAGAAATAATATAAACTGTGTGTCTGTCTGTGATGTGTACACTGCATTTGTCAGGCGTACACTGTGTATGTGATTTACTGTATATACAGTATGTGTCTGTGACAAACTGTGTTTATCATTTCAGGAGCAGAAGGACCTTCTCCAGCAAGGGTTCGATGACAGAGCACACCAAATGCAAAGAGAGATAGATGCTCTTAAGGGAGCGAAGGCACAAGAGGAAGAGAATAGGCCTTCATTTATGAGCAAGGCTCTGGATACTGTTGGGGATGCCACTATGTTGGTTCTCCCGGTAATAATTCCCAAAGTAGGAGGAATGGCCTTAAAATGGCTGTCAAAGTTGTTCTGATGAAGGTTCTCAAGGAGATTGATTGAATCAGTATTTATTGAAGTTAATGTTACTTACTTTAAATTAAGCACTCCATTAAAGGTTTCATTTGTTTTATATCATGTTAGCTTAGAAGACAAAAAATATATAAACACCTATGTTTTATAAAGTAATTTGCATGCCAAATCACAACAAAATCAAGCATTTAGAAGGCATGCTGAAAATAATATCAGATTGAAATATTTATTGGTGCTTTTATTTTTGATTAACTGCCTTTGGTAATGCACCGGATATTCTACACTAGAGTGTGTAGTGTTTATTTGTGTGTGTGTAGCCTTGGCTTTATTTGTGCTCTTAATAAAACACATTTCTGTTCACAGTTCCTGGTTTGATTAACATGGATAAAAGAATGGAATCATTTTAAAGAAAGTATGTCAAAGTACTAAACCACCTAAAACAAGACAAACAACATGTAGCTCTAAGTACAGTATCTCAATGACTCTCTGGACAAGTCAAATATAAAGACTGATTGTTTGTTCTGGTTGTGCAGTAAATGAATAATAACAGAATACAAAAGAGTTGTGATGACACTATTACCGCTAACAACACAACCAGAAGGACCTTTGAACATGAGGCCTTGTTAAACCCTGATGAAAACCTTTGTGTATGCGACCAATAACATTTTATAAAATGCTGTGGACGGTATACACTGCTGAATCTGAGTAAAACATGATTTCTTCATCCATCAACCTAAACCAGGTGCCTGGCTAGAGCACAATCTGAAACAGAAGGTCCCATTTCCAAAGAAGTTCTGAGGTAATCACTATGTACTGTATTAGTACTGAACTGCATGTAGTATGCAACATACAAGCTAACAGAAAATCCTTTGTAGCAGAATTTTTGAGGGAAGTAGAATGCTGTAAAAAGTTATGAAGCATCAGATGACCCCAAACTAGAGGTCTTCACGGATCCACCTGTACCCGAGACCCGATCCGGGACCCGAGCGGGTCCAGATCCAGAATTCTAAATAATGTCACGTCTGGATTGGATCTGATATGATTGTCACTGGTCTCAGGTATGTGTAATTTTAACTGACTTGTCCAGAAGGACCCATAGAGATCTGAACGCGAAATGGTATAATTTATGCTGCTGCTCTTTTCTCTTCACAAGAGTGGCGCGTGTAGCTTGTTGTTGGCCAATCATCAAAGCTGCAATAGGCTACAGTCATTGAGCCCCCGTGTGGGGCAAAAGTTAGGAGATATCTAATCAATGGAAGATGAAATTAAAATGATGGAATTAAAAGTTAAAAGGAGAAGGATAGACTACAACGACCAAGAGCCAACTGGTAGGCTGCTACTTTATATTCTGAATAGAGCAGTGGAGGCTGCTGAGGGGAGATCGGCTCATAATAATGGCCGGAACGGAGCGAATGGAATGGCATCAAACACCTGGAAACCATGTGTTTGATACCATTCCGCTGATTCTGCTCCAGTCATTACCACAAGCCCGTTCTCCCCAATGAAGGTGCCACCAACCTCCTGTGGAATGGTGTCATTGTTGTTTGTAACTGTGTAGGAGGAGACAGTGCATGCAGCCTCAATTAGCCTAGCTAGCTTCTCCTGGTTTAATGCAGTCAAGACAGGTACTACGTAATCATATTGGATGATAAATAACCTAGCTATGGCAGCTATTAGTCTACTATAGCGCGAGTTGGCTTTGTTGGTTGCAGTCTCTCTCTCCCTCCTCCCTGTTCCCCATGTCACTCGCTCACACTCACAGTAGACTACACACACAGCACGGCCCCTGCTAGAGCGTCACCTCTCTCTACCTCCTCTCCCTTTAATCAGCTCCGGCTAATAAAGTAGCTTAAAAATGGACTTATCTGCTGCTTCTCTTACTCTGATTGGATCGGACCAGGTCTATACGGAACTGGTCTAGTTGTCCACGGGTCCGTTCGGAACGGGTCTCTATTTTTAAAACATATTTATGCGTATCGGGTCCAGATGGGAAAACCCCAGGTCCAACTTTTTGGACCCGTGAAGGCCTCTACCCCAAACATGAGCCATTGAAATGTTCTGTGTGGCTACACTTTGATCTTAGCAATAGCAAGCAATCAATCAGTACATTCAATATATGTATTTACAGATCATAAGGCTTAAATATAAATTGTTGTACAAATATTCCCGCTATGTCCGCTTTATACAGTGCATATCTATAATGAGGAGTGCTTGTCAACGGACACATGGGCTGGAGGGTATGTCTGTTCATAACCTTTTGACCGCTGTAGGAGAGGTCAAGGTTTGAACTTGTGTGCGAGCTGCTCCAGTGTCGCCTGCAGCTTCTCCTCATCGGCCGGAGAGGACCTGGATGAAGCCAGCGGAAGGTGTGTGGGCACCGCCATTCGGTCTGGGGCATTATGGGAAAGAAAATAGAGGAGCAGATGTAAGAGATAGCAGGACGGTATTTAAACAGCCAGGGTGTGTCTATCAAGGAGGCCTTTCTAAGCAAATATATCCCCTCCCCTTCCTGTTCCACCCTCAACCCTCTCCATCCCTGTGTCTCACCCTGGAAGAAGAGTCCGCTGGGCTGCTTGGAGGCCACTGCTGAGACAGCCAGCCACACCACCGTGTCGGCCCCCATTGCCTCCGTACGCAGCTTGTTCTTCATCTTAGCATGGAAGTCAGGCATGGACAACTGGACAGCTACAGGGAACACAGAGACACAGATACATTAGCAAGTTTCCAACACAGAATAATCATTAAGAAATGCATGGAGGCTTGTGCTGATGAATATTTGTCTAGATTTCTGACTTTAGATCGGTGTTAGTACCTGGAGTATCAGCCCAGCCAGGGTGCATTGAGGAGAAGTGGATCTCTTTATGCTGGGACGCCCATCTCTCGGTCAGTATCACCTGTTGTCTCTGTCACCACAACACACAGCAAATCACTTTCACAGAGAATATAACAGAACTGTAACAGAATTTTGTACAGAATTATTTTGCAGTCATACAGTGAGGGAAAAAAGGTATTTGATCCCCTGCTGATTTTGTACGTTTGCCCACTGACAAAGAAATGATCAGTCTATAATTTTAATGGTAGGTTTATTTGAACAGTGAGAGACAGAATAACAAGAAAACAAAACAGAAAAAAGTATGTCAAAAATGTTATAAATTGATATGCATTTTAATGAGGGAAATAAGTATTTGACCCCCTCTTAATCAGAAAGATTTCTGGCTCCCAGGTGTCTTTTATACAGGTAATGAGCTGAGATTAAGAGCACACTCTTAAAGGGAGTGCTCCTAATCTCAGTTTGTTACCTGTATAGAAGACACCTGTCCACAGAAGCAATCAATCAATCAGATTCCAAACTCTCCACCATGGCCAAGACCAAAGAGCTCTCCAAGGATGTCAGGGACAAGATTGTAGACCTACACAAGGCTGGAATGGGCTACAATACCATCGCCAAGCAGCTTGGTGAGAAGGTGACAACAGTTGGTGCGATTATTCGCAAATGGAAGAAACACAAAATAACTGTCAATCTCCCTCGGCCTGGGGCTCCATGCAAGATCTCACCTCGTGGAGTTGCAATGATCATGAGAACGGTGAGGAATCAGCCCAGAAATACACGGGAGGATCTTGTCAATGATCTCAAGGCAGCTGGGACCATCGTCACCAAGAAAACAATTGGTAACACACTACGCCGTGAAGGACTGAAATCCTGCAGCGCCCGCAAGGTCCCCCTGCTCAAGAAAGCACATATACAGGCCCGTCTGAAGTTTGCCAATGAACATCAGAATGATTCAGAGGAGAACTGGGTGAAAGTGTTGTGGTCAGAAATCAAATCAAAATCGAGCTCTTTGGCATCAACTCAACTCGCCGTGTTTGGAGGAGGAGGAATGCTGCCTATGACCCCAATAACACCATCCCCACCGTCAAACATGGAGGTGGAAACATTATGCTTTGGGGGTATTTTTCTGCTAAGGGGACAGGACAACTTCACCGCATCAAAGGGACGATGGACGGGGCCATGTACCGTCAAATCTTGGGTGAGAACCTCCTTCCCTCAGCCAGGGCATTGAAAATGGGTCGTGGATGGGTATTCAAGCATGACAATGACCCAAAACACACGGCCAAGGCAACAAAGGAGTGGCTCAAGAAGAAGCACATTAAGGTCCTGGAGTGGCCTAGCCAGTCTCCAGACCTTAATCCCATAGAAAATATGTGGAGGGAGCTGAAGGTTCGAGTTGCCAAACGTCAGGCTCGAAACCTTAATGACTTGGAGAAGATCTGTAAAGAGGAGTGGGACAAAATCCCTCCTGAGCTGTGTGCAAACCTGGTGGCCAACTACAAGAAACGTCTGTGATTGCCAACAAGGATTTTGCCACCAAGTACTAAGTAATGTTTTGCAGAGGGGTCAAATACTTATTTCCCTCATTAAAATGCAAATCTATTTATACAATTTTTGACATGCGTTTTTCTAGATTTTGTTGTTGTTATTCTGTCTCTCACTGTTCAAATAAACCTACCATTAAAATTATAGACTGATCATGTCTTTGTCAGTGGGCAAATGTACAAAATCAGCAGGGGATCAAATACTTTTTTCCCTCACTGTAGGCTAGATAATGCATTCGCTCATGGGTGAGTGGGTAGTAGAGATGCACCATATCCTTACTTTGTTCTGGGCGTAGGCCATAGTGCCGTCGAATGTCCCCCTTTCAGACTGCAGGTCGTCTACTTTCATCTTCTGGACCAGCATGCCCCCTGAAGACACTGTGATCTGGAGGAGAGGGGTGATGATCATCATGACAATATGGGATGTTAGACTGCTATAGACAGATGGGAAATGTCCTTTTCTTGTTTTTGTAAAATGTAATAGATTCCTTTGATGCATTTGTTCAGACACATTAGGCCCTCTGCTGGTGAATTAGGCATTAATACAAGCACATACAGTGAGGGAAAAAAGTATTTGATCCCCTGCTGATTTTGTACGTTTGCCCACTGACAAAGACATGATCAGTCTATAATTTTAATGGTAGGTTTATTTGAACAGTGAGAGACAGAATAACAACAACAAAATCCAGAAAAACGCATGTCAAAAATGTTATAAATTGATTTGTATTTTAATGAGGGATTTGACCCCTCTGCAAAACATGACTTAGTACTTGGTGGCAAAACCCTTGTTGGCAATCACAGAGATCAGACGCAGATGTTGGCCACCAAGTTTGCACACATCTCAGGAGGGATTTTGTCCCACTCCTCTTTGCAGATCTTCTCCAAGTCATTAAGGTTTCGAGCCTGACGTTTGGCAACTCGAACCTTCAGCTCCCTCCACAAATTTTCTATGGGATTAAGGTCTGGAGACTGGCTAGGCCACTCCAGGACCTTAATGTGCTTCTTCTTGAGCCACTCCTTTGTTGCCTTGGCCGTGTGTTTTGGTTCATTGTCATGCTGGAATACCCATCCACGACCCATTTTCAATGCCCTGTCTGAGGGAAGGAGGTTGTCACCCAAGATATGACGGTACATGGCCCCGTCCATCGTCCCTTTAATGCGGTGAAGTAGTCCTGTCCCCTTAGCAGAAAAACACCCCCAAAGCATTACGTTTCCACCTCCATGTTTGACAGTGGGGATGGTGTTATTGGGGTCATAGGCAGCATTCCTCCTCCTCCAAACACGGCGAGTTGAGTTGATGCCAAAGAGCTCGATTTTGGTCTCATCTGACCACAACACTTTCACCCAGTTCTCCTCTGAATCATTCAGATGTTCATTAGCAAACTTCAGACGGGCCTGTATATTTGCTTTCTTGAGCAGTGGCACCTTGCGGGCGCTGCAGGATTTCAGTTTTTCTGGATTTTTTTTTTGTTATTCTGTCTCTCACTGTTCAAATAAACATACCATTAAAATTATAGACTGATCATTTCTTTGTCAGTGGGCAAACGTACAAAATCAGCAGGGGATCAAATACTTTTTTCCCCTCACTGTAAACACAGAACTAATGGAGGAAAGGCCATACAAGAGCCACATTTCTAACTTTTCTCATTTCATTGATGTGACCATGTTCAGTATTGGGCCAATGTCGTATGTCTAAGGCAGGACATTACTCACCACTCGTGGGTCCTGTGCCTGTTTCAGGGCTGGTATCAACGCTGTGGTTAGGATGAAGGTACCTAACCAAGTGAACCGTAATGATGAGGAAGAACATTGTGAGTAAACGTATCAACCTATATAAGTAAGTGGTGTGCATCGTTTCCAATGAGACGTGACTACTGCCCTTGGGTTGATCTTACTTACCGAGAGTGTTCGTAGCAAAGTTCTTCTCTACACCTTCCTCTGTCAGCTCTTTCTGGTTTACCATACACCCTGCATTGTTGATCTGGGTGAGAAAGAATCATAATGAATAAACTTGTAGCTCAGCTGGTAGAGCACGGCGCTTGTAACGCCAAGGTAGTGGGTTCGATCCCTGGGACCACCCATACACAAAAAATTTAAAAAATGCATGCACGCATGACTGTAAGTCGCTTTGGATAAAAGCGTCTGCTAAATGGCATATTAATAATTAACTTAGCGAATCTAATTACTCATGTTGAATCATACTCAATCACTCATATTAAACTGAATCATTCATATAGTATCATATTCAAACTAGCAGCCCATGAACCCTTTAATCTATTCAATGGACTAACCCATGTGTGGGGCTTGGAGATGATTCAGATACCTTACCAGTACATGAATGCTGTTGCTTTTTGCAAAACTCTCTGCAAACTCCCACACTTGTCTTGCACTGGACATGTCAACGATGTGAACATGGACATTCTGCAGAGACAAAGAGAATTTCAAAGAAAATGATCAACAACATAGAACAACGTTAAGTCTGATTCTGAACTATTACGCTGGCAGTTGGAAAGATTGATTACAGTATTCAAATTTGATCACAAAGAAGCCAAACATGGAATTTGGAGAGTGCGAGCCTTGGGACTTGAGTATAGACACAGCAGTGTTACTTTGTTACCAAACCGGAGGCGTAACAACCCCCAGACATGACTGTGCAGGATCAAACAAGCCTCTGTTTCTGTTTGACTTAGTGCCTGTCCACATTAATCAGTCTAAGCAAGGCAGGAAGCAGATCATCTCATCTGTATATCACCTCAACTTCCACCCAAATGGGCATAAAATATCCTTATCATCGTTAGATTAGCCTAGCTAATCTGTGCAGCACCTAACTCATGATGACATCATGAATATGCCACATTGTGACCCCATGAACAAAGCAGTTCACAATTTACTCAATGGTTTGCTCTTAATCCCTCACCAGGCAGTTGCTGGGCATGAATAAATGTGTGTGGTGTTTCTTTCTGTACTGATTCTTTCTTTGTGTCATTCAGTCCTCCTCACCTGGTTTTTACTATGTTCCACTATCTCCTCTTTAGCCTCCTCTGCCCGTTCCTTGTTACGACACACCAGGTGGACCATCCCTCCTGCAATAAAACATCAACCCTATTTCAAACACTGGGTAAACTATAGTGACCTCAAAGAACCCCTTCACACGACTAATGATCAGCCACCTGAGGAGTTGAACACCATAGTGTCCTCATGATTGGTTTTTGAGTCTGTCTATATAAACCTCTATGAGACCTCACCTTGAGGGTTGTTGCCATCTGGCCCACCTACAAGCACTCACTCATAAATCTACTGTTAATCAATAAATAGCCTATCACTCACTCTATAATGGAAACTAAAAATGTGTACAAACTATGGTCAACAGTTATATTACAGATGAGTAAAACGTGTACAAACTATGGTCACAGATATATTACAGATTAGTTACAAACATTTCAAGGTGAAAACCATATTCATTGTTGTTTTAAACACTCATAGGACATTGACTGTGCCTTACCTCTTTTGGCTATTTCATGGGCTGTAGCTTTTCCAATGCCGCTGTTGGCCCCAGTGATCACAAAAGATCTGCCACTCAGGTTCACGTCTAGGTCCCCAATAATAAAATGCTTAGCTGCTGCTTCATATCCGCTTCTGTTGAACACAAGAAAAATTCATCTCAACATAAGGTTATTGGTGATGGTGATTAAGGAACTGAGATACAATAAAGCAAACACTAATGTTGAAAAAGGCAAAGTAAAGGCAGTTACATTGAGGTTGTCGGTATAGTAACTGTATGACTACTAACTAACAAATACATTGTTTATTTGCTAACATCAATATGTACTGTGAAGGCATGTGTGTGTCAGGCACTCAAACCTAAAATTTCAACCTTCTATTTTTGTGCAACACTAGCTAGCAAATACCGATACTCACTTTGTGTATTCTTGAAGTCCTTTAACGAACCAAACGGCATTTCTGTAAAGCGACATCTTTAGGTAGCTAACTAGTTAGTTATATAATAGCTCCGTTTGATTTAAGTGGAGTTATATAGCTACTGTTAAATTTCATAACACTAAACAAAGCACGCCTCTTTTTACGTTTCATAAGAATGACTCGTTACGTCGTCCAATGGGTGGGGCAAACACACAGTCACATGGGGCAACACAAACCTCTGTCTGTAGCTAAACTACTGCTAAAATAACAAATGTGTAAATACTGGTAAGTGTTTAGTGAACAGTAAACTGAGTAGTGAACCTAGCAACCTGAACAACTGAAATTATCAGCTAACCTGTATAATACTGCTGCTATATTTATCTTTATAACTAATATTACTCTCTTCCAACATCAGTTGTCAGGATGGCCGAGTGGTCTAAGGCGCCAGACTCAAGGTTCTACCTTCCATAGAAATGGGGTTTCTGGTCTCCGAATGGAGGCGTGGGTTCAAATCCCACTTCTGACAGTCTTTTTTCCCCCAGATATATAATAGTAAAAAACAGCATCAACTCTTCAGAGCAAAGCCGGTAAAGTGCCATATCTTGCATAATGTTGATTTTAAACTAAGCTCAACCATTGACAATGCATACGTCATACCAAATAACATTTAATTCTACAAGTTAAGTTACTTTAACGTTATATATGTATATGACTGTAAGTCGCTTTGGATAAATGCGTCTGCTAAATGGCATATTATATTATATTATTATATGTATGTTTGCAATATCACTAGTAGTACGTTATCTAGCTAGCTATTGACAAACAAATGCTAACTAGCTAGCTAGATTTGCTAACAAAAAGGAAATGGGTAGCTAGCGATATCGTAAGGTTCACGGTTTTTGATTGTGAATAGCTGCTGTAGCTATAATGAAAATTATTATCCTTAACTAGCTAACGTGATAATCAATGCTGGTTAAATGAATAAATTCTCTGTTTTCTCTCACTTTTTCAGAGTTGTCAGGATGGCCGAGCGGTCTAAGGCGCCAGACTCAAGGTGAAAATCCTTCCTGGAAAGGGGCATTCTGGTCTCTGCATGGAGGCGTGGGTTCGAATCCCACTTCTGACAATACTTTTGAACCTTTCATGCTTCAATATAGGCTAGTCGGTGAGTATATAAATGTCTTATTGTAATAGTTACAAGACAATGTCAATTGTAAAGTGGATGATATATCCAAACTTGATATCAGGGCATGTCAACTGGGGTTATTCAGCAGACTGTTTTAGGCTATTTCAACCAATACAAATGTTACAGTTCTAAGATACATGTAAGATGTAAGTCGCTCTGGATAAGAGCGTCTGCTAAATTACTAAAATGTAAAAAAATTAAATGTAATACAGACTGGGCCGCTGCATCCTGACTGCGCTCTGCAGTGTTCTCTTCTTCTGAAGCCCGCCGTGCAGGTGTGTTTGTTCGGGAGAAGAACATAGTGATAGGCAGCTGTTGTCGCTCTTTTTTCTTCTTTGCAAAAAGATCCTTGTACACCGACATGCCACCATCGATTACGTTGGAGAACTGTAATGAACGGCTCATCAAAGGGTCCCATTCCTCAGCTACTCGCTTAAGTTCAGTGGCCATTCGCACCATGGTTGCTAAGCGACCAAGCGTTAGTCCTTCCTCCTCATTGACTGCTGCTGTCGTCCTTATGTTTTTTTCCTCCTTCTTTATGTAACGAACGGAAGATTCATTGATTCCGTAATGGCGAGCAACGGCTGCATAGCTTTTACCTTCCCTTAGCATGTCCAGAAGTTTAACTTTATCTGAGATAGGTAGCATCTTCCGCCGTTTGGGCCCATCCGCAGGTGCTTTTGTCGGTCCAGGCCGTTTCGTCGACATACAGCATAATGAGTAATCTGAGGTAGAAATGTTATCTTTCTGACATCAGCGCGTGGCATTTTTTTATGGCCATTAGAATGTGAGGTGATTCACTCAAATGTCCAACAGATGTCGCTATGTTCAAATTTGTTTTGGTAATACTGAGCAGAGGGGACAGTACTGTAATTCGAAAATGATAGTCAAACACAATCCCACAAAACCCATTCTGATATTCGGTCTATGCAGCATCTTCTCTTCCACCCATAATGACTGTTGATAAAATGGGGAGGGTCCATACCTGACTCAGTACCTGCTTCTTTCATGTGACATGCTTAGTGAATTCAAATGTAAATTATACTGTTAAATTTCTATGCACAGCATTTTATTATTTGGAATACTCTGTATTCAGATTCAAGAGACAAACACATGTAACAATGTGAGGATATTTTCCCACACTTCCAACATGTACTCTAGAGGCCGAACGTGTCCATCAGCTTTTTTCGAGATTGGATCCGTGCACATTTAGGGCACTCCTCATCTCTGAAGCAGTCTTTGTGGAAACAGGCCTTGCACACTAAAAGGAGAGAGATGCATCGTTATCAGATTTATGTGTATTTAAAAAAAAGTCAAGGTGAAGAGCGGACTATCTCTGTCTGATCAGAAAAACACTTGCCTTCACAGCGTGTGCAGGTCTCGCTCTGGAAGGGAAATAGCACATCCTTCTGCTTGCAGAACTCACAGATGAAGCCTCTAGCCAGGCAGACCTGGGGTAAAACACAACAGATCTTAGTCTCAACTATTGAACACTGCATAGGTGAAGTCAAGATATTAGAATAGAATGTAACTTTATTTGTCCATCTATGATTTTGTGACTGGTGGATATACCTGACAGCTCTCCACGTGGGCGATGACCACCCGGAGCACGGCCCTGGCCAGCGGCACCAGCTGACCCCGTTTGACCCTCAGGAGGTCATCCATGGAGAACAGGTGTGGCTCCTGTGTCAGGTGATCAGGAAGCTGCTCAAACTCCTTCAGGACCCTGAGCATGATAACAACAGCACAAATTAAGAACTTTGTCAAGCACCAAGACTTTTGGCTATTCAGAATAAATCTAAAACAACACCCAGGCTAGATCATAACCCATTTATCTGTCCAGATGAAAACTTTCATCTGTACAGCGAGTTATGGCTCAAATGATTAAAACTGGAAGGTTGCCGTCTGCAACCAACAGCCAACAGATTTATGAAGTTTAGCCCAAAATAAGGCAAAAAGTGCCATGTGTGGTGAAGAAGTTGGCATGAGAAAGGAGAGTGTGAGAGAGAGTGGTGAAGGGAGAATCATTAAGTGGATGTCTTTACCCCTCAGATAATCTGCATGCTTTCAGCAGTCTCTTAATGCCTAATAGTTGCTCCTGCAGGTCCTTGGGAGGGGAGAAGAGAGTGTTAATGTAATCAATATGTGTGTGAGGTCTCGACTCTGCAACATTCCCTGCATGGCGCCACTGAACATTAGGAGAACTAATCAAAGACACAGACTCATCCACATTCTCCCAGTGACTCCGAGATCCCTATTCTGAGTTTCCTCTTCGTACAGATATGAGCCCCCCAGACACTGCTGAAGAAGAGGATTCACCACTGCTGTAAAACTGATCCCAGACCATATCTCTCATTGTCTTAAAGCCTGCAGTTGTTAGCTTGAACCTAATCCACTGACCTGCCCAGTTTCTATTCTCAGTCGACAGTCACACCGCACTCAAGCACAATAATCAGAACTGACCCCAGACCAGTTGAAACCCTGTATACAGTATCTCAGCTCCTATAGGAGTCTACTTACCCTGAACCTGTCCAGCTCTCGCACCCTGCTGTAGAGGGTCTTGCCAACACAGGTCAGGTCGAAGAGAGGCTGGTGCCACACAGAGTCCAGCAGCTGCTTGGAAAAATCACTGACTGGGTACCTCCCAAAGTCCCACTGGGTCAGCACCCAGCCCGGGATCACAGACTCAGCGCCGCCATGGCAACAGTCACAGAAGTACTTGCTCAGGTATTCACAGTAGCGCAGCTTCTTGATGTATCCTGAGGTATGAGAGCAATGTGATTGTCTAGATGGACTGATATTCATATAATGTGTAATGTAGAAAGCAACAGGATAGATCAAACTAAGGCTTTGATAACTGCAACACTGTATGATTTTTGTTTAGTTCAGAAATGAATCCACGAGGTAGAGTAAAAAGGTTGCAGTCAAGCAGTTAAACTTGGATCTTCAACCATAACAACAACATAATTCACACATTATCTCCTAGCAGACAAGCAGGCCTCTGTCAGTGAAAGCCCAGCAGTGTGTGTGTGTGTGTGTGTGTGTGTGTGTGTGTGTGTGTGTGTGAAAGAGTGAGACTGTGTGCAGTGTGTGTTCCTCTCACAGGTAATATACAGCAGGTGAGCGCCGTAAATAATCCGGTCACACACTTCAGAGCATTCCTCCGCAACCACCGATAAACACGAAAACACTCTCAGAGCGCCATACAGCAAAGGAAATATGTACAGAGCTCTGCCTCAGTTTTGACATTAAAGGGCTTGCTATGGCTCCAGGTGGATCACCCAGAGTGTCCAGCTCTCTGGACTAGAGTAGTACTTACTGGGTTCTATTTCAGTTCCACAGCCTGCACAGAGGAAGTGCTGGGAGGCAACAACCTCACTGCGCCTGGGCAGGAGACAGAATTATGAGGAAAACTGATTAACAGACTTATTGCAGATTGAAATAAAGAGAACAAACGTATTGTACCGAGAGTGAAAGGGAGTAATACCATGACACAATGAGAATAATTTCTAACTTGTGCACACGCCCATCCCCTGTAGGAATAGTCATCATCAGTGAAGTCAGTGTGACACCATACTGACCTCTGGGTGGGGTGGACGCTGAAGATGATCTGGAACCGGGGCGGGGCCCAGCTCAGAGTGCCCCTCATCCTGGTTCTCTGTCTGATCTCCTCACTCAGACTAAGACGGGCATCACTCACCATACAAACACCACCAGGAAGCTGGGGATTAAGGTCATTGATTGGTACACACTCTTCCAGTCTGGTGTAAACATCCTATTGAAGTAATGAACATTTCACAGTCATTCCTCATGTGTAAGTGACGGTATTTCACAAATCTACTCTATTGCAATATTCCAGCTAGCCGAAATAGAACAGAAAGTATGCCTGTTAAAATGTGCTTTGTATTTGTGTGTTTGACTGCAGGGACACATTTTGTAACCACAGTGATTCTCACTTCCTGCAGTGAGGTCCTGATGCTCTGACGGCCGCGTTTCAGCTCCTGTGTGGGAAACCACTGCTTCCTGAAGTCACACACCAGCTGCTGGGCTAGGCCCTCTGCAGAGCAGAGCATTATGGGACAGCCCAGGGAACTGACAATGGACATAATGGGGGTAAGAACAAGACAAGATGAAAAGGAATTATTTTTTAAGCTGTTGTATGAAGACTATGATGAATACTATCACAGTTAATCAGAGGTGTGATGGGGTTGTAGCTGTTTGTTTGTTTCTACCTTTTAAAGGACATATTAGCGCCTCTGGTTATTGGTCTATTGTCTGCTCCGCAACCTACAATGCAAACAGAGGTGATATGAAACACATTAACTCAGAGAACACTCTTCTCTCACATGGTCCCACTGACACATCCTTCTTTGTCATTGCCTTGTCTCCCACACCCCTAAATGGCTTCCTCTCTACGTCCTCTATGACCACATATCTGATATGACTGGGTGGGTTGGTTGTGTTTGCATAATTTCTCTACACACCTAGAACATTGGTCAGCAATAAAAGGAAAGCATTCAAGATGATCTTGTCCAACAGTTTTTGTCCAAAATGTTTATGACAATTTCATGACAATTCATGACCATTTTAAAGCCCTCTTCCATTATTACATCCTCTTGTTCCCTACCTTCATATCCGCTGTCAGTGGACACAAGAGAGTGTGTCTTTGAGGGGTGGATGCAGATTTGGGTCCCTGAGCCCTCTGAGGCCTCTGTATGGTTCCCCATGGCCCCACAGCTCTTCTGACTCAGACTCACAGCCCACTTCACCCCCTCCAAGGCCTCCAGCACCATGTCCACCACTATGAAATGAGCATTCTCCTACACACCAGGCATAAAGCATAATGTCACAGAGAGTTCATACAGTGCCTTCGGAAAGTATTGAGTCCCCTTGACTTTTTCCACATTTTGTTACGTAACAGCCTTATTCTAAAATTGGTTCAATTGTTTTTTACTCATCAATATACACACAATACCCCATATTGACAAAGCAAAAACAGGTTTTTAGAATTTTTTGCAGATTTATAAAAAAGTAAAAAATAATAACACATTTACATAAGCATTCAGACCCTTTACTCAGTACTTTGTTGAAGCACCTTTGGCAGCGATTACAGCCTCGAGTCTTCTTGGGTATGACGCTACAAGCTTGGCACACCTGTATTTGGGGAGTTTCTCCCATTCTTCTCTGCAGATCCTCTCAAGCTCTGTCAGGTTAGATGAGGAGCATTGCTGCACAGCTATTTTCAGGTCTCTCCAGAGATGTTCGATCTGGTTCAAGTCTGGGCTCTGGCTGGGCCACTCAAGGACATTCAAAGACTTGTCCCGAAGCCACTCCTGTGTTGTCTTGGCTGTGTGCTTAGGGTCGTTGTCCTGTTGGAAGGTGAACCTTCGCCCCAGTCTGAGGTCCTGAGCGCTCTGGAGCAGGTTTCAAGGATCTCTCTGTACTTTGCTCCATTCATCTTTGCCTCGATCGTGACTAGTCTCCCAGTCCCTGCTGCTGAAAAACATCCCCACAGCATGATGCTGCCACCACCATGCTTCACTGTTAGGATGGTGCCAGGTTTCCTCCAGACGTGACGCTTGGCATTCAGGCCAAAGAGTTCAATCTTGGTTTCATCAGACCAGATAATCTTGTTTCTCATGGTCTGAGAGTCTTTAGGTGCCTTTTGGCAAACTCCAAGCGTGCTGTCATGTGCCTTTTACTGAGGAGTGGCTTCCGTCTGGCCACTCTACCATAAAGGCCTGATTGGTGGAGTGCTGCAGAGATAGTTGTCCTTCTGGAAGGTTCTCCCATCTCCACAGAGGAACTCTAGAGCTCTGTCAGAGTGACCATCGGGTTCTTGGTCACCTCCCTGACCAAGGCCCTTCTCTGCTCAGTTTGGCCTGGCGGCCAGCTCTAGCAAGAGTTTTGGTGGTTCCAAACTTCTTCCATTTAAGAATGATGGAGGCCACTGTGTTCTTGTGGACCTTCAATGCCTCGACACAATCCTGTCTCGGGGACCTTCAATGCCTTGACACAATCCTGTCTCGGAGCTCTACGGACAATTCCTTCGACCTTGGTTTTTGCTCTGACATGCACTGTCAACTGTTGGACCTCATATAGACAGGTGTGTGCCTTTCCAAATCATGTCCAATCAATTGAATGTACCACAGGTGGACTCCAATCAATTTGTAGAAACATCTCAAGGATTATCAATGGAAACAGGATGCACCTGAGCTCAATTTCGAGTCTCATAGCAAAGGGTCTGAATAATTATGTAAATAAGGTATTTCCGTTTTTTGTATTTAGACATTTGCAAAAATTTATAAAAACCAGTTTTCGCTTTGTCGTTATGGGGTATTGTGTGTAGATTGCTGATTAAAAATGTTATTTAATCCATTTTAGAATAAGGCTGTAATTTAACAAAATGTGGAAAAAGTCAAGGGGTGTTGAATACTTTCCAAAGGCACTGTAGATGCTTAAAAAATAAACAAAATATAAATAAGCAAATATAAATAAGCAAATATGTTTTAGAGAGGGTAATTTACCTTGTCCAGGTCACAGCCAGTCTTGAACATGTCTGCAGAGCAGTGTGTAATATCACTTGATCTTTTATCCTTAATAGGCACTTTAATGTCAAAGCACAATGACAAAAACATATAAATCAGTGAACTAGACATAAGGAACCTTGATTTCTCACTTTCTTATTTTCCCTCTGCACCTGTAAAGACCTGTAAAGTCTGCCATATCAGGACAGCTGAAAAGGTTACCTAATTGTGGATGGGCATCCGAGGTGGAGCGTAGACGGTGACCCTTCTCCTGATCCAGCCCTGGCCCCTGGGGGCCCCTGAAGGGCAGATGGAGCCCGCTGGTCAGCAGGCGGTTCAGGTTGGCCGAGATGGAGACACAGCGTGGCTTATCTGACTGAGATATAGTAGGACAGTGACAGGGGTTAAACTCTGCCTCTACACTACCAGTTGACCTCTCTGCTGACCGTGGGGTCTCAGTAAGATGAAGATGATATCGGTCAGATGTTGATGGGGGGTCACTACTAAGACCCAGAGGGGCCACAGTAGTAGGGGGCAACACAGACAGAGACAGCCCTGTATCTCCATGCCATGTTAAGGACTTCCTCCTGCGGGAGATGACGGGGCTACTTCTGGGCAGGTGATATTGGTCATCACCTGGGGACAGCAGAGAGGGGTCCTGCCTGTTTGAGTAATTCCCTGGTGCTTCATTACTCTTATAGTGTCCTTCATCATCATCATCATCATCATCATGAGAGGACTGCCCTATGTGCTTTTCTTCCCCGCTGCTTTCTGTGTCAGTGCAGTGTCCGTGTGGTGGACTTAGATAGGGGGATGTGGGGACAATGTCCACACACCAGCTCACATCGTTTGACCTCCGTAGAGGAGAGGCAGTGCCACCACGACTGACCACCTTCACACAAAGAGAGAGAGAGATTTTATATGAACGCAGTTATACCTCAATTTCCTTCAAAACAACTGCTCTTGTTGTACTTCCTGAATAAAAACTTAACTGAAAACTACCAGCCGAAAATATATATTCAGAGCAACTTGAAATGTATAAGACTTGCATGGTGGCATTGTTTGAGTTAGTATTCACAGAATATATTCTCATCTCCATCATTACAAGTTCATTTGACAGATGAATTTACTTCCTATGACACTTTACAATAAAAAGTTGTAGAAGATATTAATATTACAACCATATCTCTATTGTGAAGGGGGATATTTCCACATGAACACCAACCTTTTTGATATGCTGTGAGTCCATATTAGTTGGACAATCAAGTGCAGGTCAGAGCTCACTGTTTGACTGACGGATGAACATGAAGGACATTGACTTTGTAGAGTTTCTGAAAATATACACAATTATTCTAATAATATATCTATTTTTAAACATTACTAATGAACAATATATCAATGGGCACGTCAAGCCTATATTTATACTGAAGTTAAGATACACCTACAAGTAGTATTGAAACCATAAGAAAAATCACAAATGTGATCCCCTTTAGAATCTCTGAAACAATTTCATATTCTGTCAAACTAAGTACTCACTATTTTGTATGATTCCAAAATGAAGGACATGGTTGAACCTGAGTCTTTTTGTCGTGTGACTCTGAAATCACACAACTGTAAAACGGTCAACTTGTTGAGCAAGGAGTAGGTAGCAGGATATCTTTACTTCCTGCATTTAATGCTGGGTTGAAATTTCTGTGGTAAAGTAGTGCCCTTTTCAAACCAGATGCAAGAAGCCTCTGTTCTTCAACAAATGATCAAGTGAATGATAACTTTAGATACATAAGCTATTTTTAAATAAGCTCTGAATTTCCAAACTCCAAGTTCAAATAGCGAATGAGCTATGTCTTTGTGTAATAAATGTTTTATCAAAGGTCAAAGGCTCACACTCAAAGAAGTGTCTCAGAACTATACATTATTATATGTTTGACTTGACAAGTAGGTCTACTAAATCTTATACACATTAATTCCAACAGCTCACACATCTCTGGTGAGGTTGAGTTATCATGCACAAAGAAATAGATTGAACCTAATCCATATGTAATAGTCTTCCTTATTCATGTTTAGGTCAAGAGTAGTGAATTATGCTTGTAGTCCTGATAGGTTCCCTGCAGTGGTAAGTAATGCTTTGTTCAGCAAGAAGGAGATGTTGCAGAAATCAGCCTTAAGCCTATCACACCAGAATGCAGCTTGAACAGAAAAGAGGAACTATGAGGAAGTATCAGTTTATTTGTACTGATGATCTACTAATAATAGAAGATGAAGTAAGGGGAGTAAAGTGACAAATAACCCACTGGGTACAGAAGTCAATTCAACGTTTATTCCACATTGGTTCAACGTCATTTCATTGAAATGACTTGGAAACAACGTTGATTCAATCAGTTTGTGCCCAGTGGGAAGTGACATGAAGATGTGGACTGTTTTTTCAGGCCCTGAAAAGAAATAGTCACACTGTCATGAATATTGGGAATAGTAGAAGTATAGGCTATTTCTCTTAGGCTGGATTAGTCTGGAATAGAATCCCAGAAGCCTTTGCTAACTCCAGATGGAACCAGACTGAAGGATGACAGGATGAGAAATTAGGTATGACAAAACAGAGATGAGTCTGTCACTCCACCACTCTCACTCACTGTCTTCTTTCGGTTCTGTATCTGAAGGCATACAGTGAGGGAAAAAAGTATTTGATCCCCTGCTGATTTTTGCCCACTGACAAAGAAATGATCAGTCTATAATTTTAATGGTAGGTTTATTTGAACAGTGAGAGACAGAATAACAAAAAAATCCAGAAAAACGCATGTCAAAAATGTTATAAATTGATTTGCATTTTAATGAGGGAAATAAGTATTTGACCCCTCTGCAAAACATAATTTAGCACTTGGTGGCAAAGCCCTTGTTGGCAATCACAAAGGTCAGACGTTTCTTGTAGTTGGCCACCAGGTTTGCACACATCTCAGGAGGGATTTTGTCCCACTCCTCTTTGCAGATCTTCTCCAAGCCATTAAGGTTTCGAGGCTGACGTTTGGCAACTCAAACCTTCAGCTCCCTCCACAGATTTTCTATGGGATTAAGGTCTGGAGACTGGCTAGGCCACTCCAGGACCTTAATGTGCTTCTTCTTGAGCCACTCCTTTGTTGCCTTGGCCATGTGTTTTGGGTCATTGTCATGCTGGAAATACCCATCCATGACCCATTTTCAATGCCCTGGCTGAGGGAAGGAGGTTCTCACCCAAGATTTGACGGTACATGGCCCTGTCCATCGTCCCTTTGATGCGGTGAAGTTGTCCTATCCCCTTAGCAGAAAAACACCCCCAAAGCATAATGTTTCTACCTCCATGTTTGACGGTGGGGATGGTGTTCTTGTGGTCATAGGCAGCATTCCTCATCCTCCAAACACAGCGAGTTGAGTTGATGCCAAAGAGCTCCATTTTGGTCTCATCTGACCACAACACTTTCACCCAGTTCTCCTCTGAATCATTCAGATGTTCATTGGCAAACTTCAGACGGGCATGTATATGTGCTTTCTTGAGCAGGGGGACGTTGCGGGTGCTGCAGGATTTCAGTTCTTCACAGCGTAGTGTGTTACCAATTGTTTTCTTGGTGACTATGGTCCCAGCTGCCTTGAGATCATTGACAAGATCCTCCCGTGTAGTTCTGGGCTGATTCCTCACCGTTTTCATGATCATTGCAACTCCAGGAGGTGAGATCTTGCATGGAGCCCCAGGCCAAGGGAGATTGACAGTTATTTTGTGTTTCTTCCATTTGCGAATAATCGCACCAACTGTTGTCACCTTCTCACCAAGCTGCTTGGCGATGGTCTTGTAGCCCATTCCAGCCTTGTGTAGGTCTACAATCTTGTCCCTGACATCCTTGGAGAGCTCTTTGGTCTTGGCCATGGTGGAGAGTTTGGAATCTGATTGATTGATTGCTTCTGTGGACAGGTGTCTTTTATACAGGTAACAAGCTGAGATTAGGAGCACTCCCTTTAAGAGTGTGCTCCTAATCTCAGCTCGTTACCTGTATAAAAGACACCTGGGAGCCAGAAATCTTTCTGATTGAGAGGGGGTCAAATACTTATTTCCCTCATTAAAATGCAAATCAATTTACAGTGGGGAGAACAAGTATTTGATACACTGCCGATTTTGTAGGTTTTCCTACTTACAAAGCATGTAGAGGTCTGTAATTTTTTATCATAGGTACACTTCAACTGTGAGAGACAGAATCTAAAACAAAAATCCAGAAAATCACATTGTATGATTTTAAGTAAGTAATTTTATTGCATGACATAAGTATTTGATCACCTACCAACCAGTAAGAATTCCGGCTCTCACAGACCTGTTAGTTTTTCTTTAAGAAGCCCTCCTGTTCTCCACTCATTACCTGTATTAACTGCACCTGTTTGAACTCGTTACCTGTATAAAAGACACCTGTCCACACACTCAATCAAACAGACTCCAACCTCTCCACAATGGCCAAGACCAGAGAGCTGTGTAAGGACATCAGGGATAAAATTGTAGACCTGCACAAGGCTGGGATGGGCTACAGGACAATAGGCAAGCAGCTTGGTGAGAAGGCAACAACTGTTGGCGCAATTATTAGAAAATGGAAGAAGTTCAAGATGACGGTCAATCACCCTTGGTCTGGGGCTCCATGCAAGATCTCACCTTGTGGGGCATCAATGATCATGAGGAAGGTGAGGGATCAGCCCAGAACTACACGGCAGGACCTGGTCAATGACCTGAAGAGAGCTGGGACCACAGTCTCAAAGAAAACCATTAGTAACTCAATACGCTGTCATGGATTAAAATCCTGCAGCGCACGCAAGGTCCCCCTGCTCAAGCCAGCGCATGTCCAGGCCCGTCTGAAGTTTGCCAATGACCATCTGGATGCTTCAGAGGAGGAATGGGAGAAGGTAATGTGGTCTGATGAGACAAAAATATACATTTTGGTCTAAACTCCACTCGCCGTGTTTGGAGGAAGAAGAAGGATGAGTACAACCCCAAGAACAGCATTCCAACCGTGAAGCATGGAGGTGGAAACATCATTCTTTGGGGATGCTTTTCTGCAAAGGGGACAGAACGACTGCACCGTATTGAGGGGAGGATGAATGGGGCCATGTATCGCGAGATCTTGGCCAACAACCTCCTTCCCTCAGTAAGAGCATTGAAGATGGGTCGTGGCTGGGTCTTCCAGCATGACAACGACCCGAAACACACAGCCAGGGCAACTCTGGATTTTTGTTTTAGATTCCATCTCTCACAGTTGAAGTGTACCTATGATAAAAATTACAGACCTCTACATGCTCTGTAAGTAGGAAAACCTGCAAAATCGGCAGTGTATCAAATACTTGTTCTCCCCACTGTATAACATTTTTTTTTCACATGCGTTTTTCTGGATTTTTTTGTTGTTATTCTGTCTCTCACTGTTCAAATAAACCTACCATTAAAATTATAGACTGATCATTTCTTTGTCAGTGGGCAAACGTACAAAATCAGCAGGGGTGATCAGCAGGGATCAGCAGGGGATGTAATGTAAATGTAAAATGTAATGTAAATGGGATCAAATACTTTATTCCCTCACTGTACATCTCTGCCTCTCTGTCGGTGTCACTTTGTGAGTGTGTGTGTACTGTGTAGCCTCCATAGTGTAATCAGTGATCAGTATATCTGCTGATGCAAGCAGGTTATTGAAGTGCTTGACTCAGCACTCTCATTGGCAGTGAGGCTTCTCTCTCTCTATCTCAGTGTGTGTGTTCTCTCTCTCTCTCTCTCTCTCTCTCTCTCTCTCTCTCTTTCTCTTGCCCTCTTTCTCTCGCTCTCTGTTTCTCTCTATATCAGACTCAATGAACTCCAGGAATCCTCATCCAAGATATGATATGAAATGAATGATATGAAAAATGTTCTGTAATTGTAATTCTGTAAAGTTGTTGTGCCGGCCTTTCAATCATTCAAAACACATACTCACTGTGACTGCATCCCTAAGATCTGTTATTGTTCTGTATCACTCAGTTCAAATGAACTACATATGTAGGCTACAGTACAGATAGTAATGTCATATAGTAGTAGGTCTTGAAGATAAATTATGGCAGTTTTATATTTCGTCAGCAGGGGATGCAAAATCCTAATTTACCAGTATGCCGTTGGTCTGGCTAGAGTTCAACGTAGTACTGTAAATAGCGCAGTCGCAGTGGGAGCGGAGGCAGTCGAAGAGGAAATTCGCAAACCATTGGAGTCGCTCCCATAGTTTGTGCTGGGAT